GCCAATACAGGAGACATAACAGATGTGGATTCAATCCCTGGGTCAGGAAGATCCCCTGGAGGAGGGTGTGGTGATGCACACCAGTATTCTTGCCTGGAGAATCCCATGGACAGAGGAGCCTGGTGGGCTCTAGTCCACAGGGTCGCAGAGTCAGACACGACTGAAGTGACAGCCGCAGCTGCTCTTGGAACCTCCGTGCTGACCACCCAGGGAACTGACTACCAACACCCTCTTCCCCAGCTGTCTCCCTCTCCCCCTGGAAATATTTCTTTCTCCTTCGGAGCAACTGAGCCTCTCCACTTTGCATAGACGCCTGGGGATCTGGAACGGTACTCTCGGCGGCCGCTCAGCAAGCCAGCCAGGCCTTGCAATGGGGCCCAGCGTGAAGGGGGGGGGCCAGGGTCCAGAAGCCAGTACCCAGACTCAAGGGATGGTACTGCCGGTAATACTGGTGCAGTGTCCGCAGGACCGTCCCTTCCGAGCGGACAGGTTTCAGTTTGGGGGCAGCGGCCACAGAGCAGTGGAATTCCTCCAGCCGGTCTTTATACCGCTGTGTGTTATCCTGGAAGATTTTCAGACAGTGGGCCATGTTGTCCTCGCTGGAGGTGCCCTGGCAGCTCAGGTAGGGCACGAAGCCTGCAAGAGTCGAGGGGGAATCGCAACCTTCAGCAAGAGATTCAGATCCTGCCCAAACCCCCAGAGTCTCCGCCCAGCCCTGGCCATTTCTTCCTTGGCCGACAACACTGCATTTCCCCAAAGGCCATGAATACAAGCCGTGCTATTGTTTCCACTGCCGCTGGGTCCTCCCAAGGCCACAAAAAATGACCTTGGAGTGGGGAGGGAAGGCCCGTTTCCACAAAGGCGATGACAGTAATGTTCTTTGATAGCAAAGCCACCGATGTCAGCCCGAATGGCAAATGGGGAAAGCGTTTAATGGGCCAAAATGATCGTCTGAGGAGTAATTGAAATTATTCATCTTTTTAGAGAGAAAGCTTATTTTCCTTGACACTTTCCAAATGCAATTTGGGATCTTTTTTGTCGGACCATCAGAAAATTGCGGGCTTATTAAAAGCTGAGACCTATTACACAAAAAGGTAAATTCATTATCTGTGAGACCCACCCTGAGCACAATTTTTCAGCATTTCCCACAAAATAACATATAATCATTACAATTAGTATGGGTAAAACACAACTATTTATTTAAACTGGATGCTGAATCCTAAGTACTATAATGCTGTCATAATAAGGCCATTTTTAAAAAGAACAAAGAATGGAAAAAAAAACTGGTTAAGGCTTAGTTTTAAATTGCAAATAAATAAATAAATATATAAGTCTCATTATTGAAGCTCAACATTTTTGCTCTTATCCCCAGGTAAGAATAGCTGGCCTCAGAGTTGAAGGCAGTAACCCTCACCCTCTGCACTGGAAAGAAATGTGCTCTGGAAGACTCGAATTATTAGACTGTTCTTGACAGTGCTGGAAGCCTTCCATCCACTATCCAGGCTCCCAATTGAACTTGGGAGATTAAAAGATATGCTGGACAATTAAAAGACAATTAAAAGATACATTAACAACATGGAGGAGACCCTAGACACCCAGGGACCTCATCACAGTGGTTTTTCTTCATCAGGGTCCACTTTGATCTGCATAGATTTTACCTGATTGCATATATGTATGCACAAGTGTACACACACACACACACACACACACACACAGAAATACAAACAACCTTTATTGAGTCTTGCTAAGGGCCAAAATATTTCAAATGTATGCCAGCTCCTTTAGAGACGGATTTTATTTTCTTGGGCTTTAAAATCACTGTGGATGGTGACTGCAGCCATCAAATTGACACCTGCTTTTTTATAAAGAAAGCTATGACAAACCTAGACAGCATATAAAAAGCAGACATCACTTTGCTGACAAAGGTCCGTATAGTCAAAACTATGGTTTTTCCAGTAGTCATGTATGGATGTGAGAGTTGCACTATAAAGAAAGCTGAGCGCCGAAGAAGTGATGCTTTTGAGCTAGGGTGCTGGAGAAAACTCTTAAGAGTCCCTTGGACTGCAAGGAGATCAAACCAGTCACTCTGAAAGGAAATCAACCCTGAATATTGGTTGGAAGGACTGATGCCGAAGCTCCAATACTTTGACCACCTGATTCAAAGAGCCAACTCATTAGAAAAGATCCTGATGCTGGCAAAGAGTGAAGGCAAAAGGAGAAGGGGGCAACAGAGGATGAGATGGTTGGATAGCATCACCCATTCAATGGACATGAATTTGAGCCAACTCCAGGAGATAGTGAAGGACAGGGAAGCCTAGTGTACTGCAGTCCATGGGGTTGCAAAGAGTCAGACACCACTTAGCGACTGAATAACAACAAAGCTCCTTTAATCTTCACCATAATCTTATGAGGAATCTATCCCTACCCCGTATAGTGGGTTGAATCAATAGATCTACCCAAGTCCCACCCCCTGAAACCTGTGAAGGTGAACCTATCAGGAAATAGAATCTTTGCAGATGTAATTAAGGATTCGGAAATGAGATCATCTTAGATTTAGGATGGACCCCCAAATCCAATGCCTAGTTTCCTTCTAAAAGAAAGGAGAGGGAGGTTTGAGAAACAAAGACACAGAGACACTGAGCAGATGGACACAAGAAAAGTCATGGGAAGATGGGGGCAGAGACTGGAAAGATGCCACCACAAAACAAGGAACACCAGGGGCCATCAAAGAGCGCAGTCCTGCCCATACCTCATTTCAGACTCCTGGCCTCCAGAACTGTGAAAGAATAAATATCTGCTGTTTTACACAACAGCCCTAGGAAACGAATACAAGCATTTTATAGAAATTTCTCCTTACCATACAGAGGTAAGTAAACTGCTTACAATCACGTAGATAATGGCCAGGAAGAGATTGGAATCCCAGTTTATTAAAACCCAAAGCTTATTCTCTTAACCAACCAGTAGGACCAGGGTGAGGATGGGCAACCTTGGAATATTCTCCACGAATCTCCCCTCCTGAGAATACCTGTATGTGAGAGCAGAGAGCTTCTGGGGAGCACTAGGTTCATCACCCACCGTGATGTGATTTAGTAAATTCTCAGTAGCCTGGAAGGCTGAGAAGGAGAAGCCTTAGGATAGAGTGACTAGTTCTCCTGACTTGCCAAGGGCTGAGGGGTTTCCTGGGATGCAGGACTTTCAGTGCTAAAACTGTGACCATTCCCAACAAACCAGAGTAACTGGCCACCCTCCCTCCAGGGGACACAGGAAGACATGGGACTGTAAGGACAGCCCTAGTGCTTGAGAACAGCACAACTTGGAAAGAGGAACAGTTTACCCATCTGTGTCTACCCAGGTCCAAATGCATGGACGAGACATGAGATAAGTGCTTCCTGGATACCAGGCCATGTCCTGGGAGATTTGAAAGTGAAAGTGAAAGTCGCTCAGTTGTGTCCGACTCTTTGCGACCCCATGGAACAGTCCATGGAATTCTCCCTAGACTACATTTCTCCACTTATCAGAACCCAGTGATCTGCCATCTTCAACAGTGGAGCATTTTCAACGAGTCTCGTAAATGCTAAAGTGCCTGTACTGGTCCATTAAACCTGTCAGACATGGACAATGGGGCAAGGAAGAGACAGAGATGGTCCCCCTGCCAGCCCCGTCACCACTTACCACTGTAGCCTGGTGTGATTGGCATCTGTCTCATGAAGGTCTTGGAAGACTCCATGATTTTGCTCTCTGTTAATGAAGGGAAGAGGGAATGAAATCATCTCATCAGAAGTCCCTTCCTAGAGAACTCACTGCACATGTGCCAGAGCCCTTGGGAGTAAGACTAACCTTGCCAGGGAATTGGGACAGAGAGAAAGCACCAGCATTAGCCAAGGATGCCACTAAACATTCAATGTGCAGGACATAATGAAGAATTAGAGTAAGCTGAGGCTGGAAAGGATCAGAAGTCTCTAAAGTTGGCATGGAGTCCAAGCTGGGGTTGCAGGGGTGGCGGGGTGGGGTACCACACAGCATCAGTTTACATGGATGCTGTCTCCAGAGCCAGACCCCTTCCTCCTTCTGGGATGGCCTGTGCTTGCCTTAATACAGGCCAGGTCCTGCATCTGGCATCTACCCTGCGCAGCCAGTTCATCTCAAAAGTGATGCCTTCGTGGCCAGGACAAATGTCCTCAGGGGTAGAGGAGAAGGTCTCCATCATGGCATACTCGGCAGTGATGGGAATTTTAACAGTTCAGACATTCACTTGCTACCACATGGCTGAAGACAGGACTGCATTCCTGCGATTTCCTTCTCCAGGGGATCTTCCCCAACCCGGGATGGAACCTGGTCTCCAGTACTGCAGGCAGATTCTTTACCATCTGAGCCACTAAGGGAAGCTTTATTAAATCCTCACCGCTGCCCTAAGGGTTAATTTCTGTTTCAGTCCCCATTTTACAGATGGTAAAATAAGGCACAGAGAGGATAAGCAATTTGTTTGAAGATTTCTGCGTCCAAGGAGGTCAGACCGTCTAAACCCTGGGCGCAGGATTGGCGGTGGTGGTGGTTTAGTTGCTTATGGACTTGAGCCTGCCAGGCTCCTCTGTCCATGGGATTTCCCAGGCAGGAATATCGGAGTGGGTTGCCATTTCCTGCTCCAGGGGCTCTTCCCGACCCAGGGATCCAACCCACGTTTCCAGCGTGGTGGGCGGATTCTTCACCGCTGAGCCACCTGGGAAGCCCGGTGGGGACAGGAGTGAGTGCGCGTGGTTGGGGAGAGGGCGGCGATCTGCGCGGGTGGATGGTGGGCGGCTCACCACGCCCTGAGGCCTGCCTGGAGGAGGCCAGAAGGGATGAGGCTGGGGAGGAGCTATGCTGGGGTGGGGCCGGAAAGCCAAGCAGAAAGCGCGGACATCCCGCCGCCCCACTCTTGCCCCACTCCAGGGTCCTCACCTGGGCCGGCCTGGATCACGGCCCCACAGGCCTCCCTGCCCACGCCTGGCCTCCACCGGACTGTCGCACCCCAGCCTGCCCCTCCCCCTTCCTCAGCTTTCTGCCTCCCGACTGGAAGCGCCCCCAGGAGTCAGAGGAGACTCGCTCAGCGTCTGCTCTTGGGGTGAAATCCAGGGATTTTCCCAGCAAGATTTTGCTTCCGAAGCTGTTCTCTGTTCAGGGTACACGGTCTCCCGCAGGTGAGGCCTTTCTGGGTATGGAAATTGGGTGGGGGTGTGCACTAAGGAATCCGGCTCAAAGCCAGCTTTTCTTATGTGGACACTGGGGAGCCTGGGCTGGCGGGGAAAGGATTGGTGGGAACAGGCCTCGGCAGGGTTGGGGGGAGTAGCCTGGGAGGGACGGGGAGGCTCTGTCCAGGCGGCTTCCCTTGGGCTTCTCACACCCCTTCACCTGCAGCCTGGTGTCCCTTACTAGGAGAGTCTCCAGGTGGACCAGGACAAGTAAGCGTGAGAAGGGGACCAAGCACCCAGTGAAGGATGCTGGGCAGGCAGTACCATACTCCTTCTGACCATCCTCATTTTATGGGAGCTGAACTTTCACATTGGTCTGAACGCAAGATGCCCACTGTGTGACCCGGATCAGGGATTGCATGGCCTGAACAGACTGCCGGTTCCAGCTGTCCCCTCTACAGATGAGGAAACTGAATCCCGACTGCCTGGTGGCCCTACTTTCACAATACATATTTCACTCCACCTCCCAGACTTCCCCACCTCTCCTCAGGGGCATTGAACTTCAGATGAAACTTCAGTGGAGCTACCCCCTTAGGAAGAACCCATACCGCGGTGCTGGGAAAGATTGAAGGCCAGAGGAGAAGGGGACAACAGAGAATGAGATGATTGGATGACATCACTGACTCAATGGATATGAGTTTGAGTAAGCTCCTGGAGATGGTGAAGGACAGGGAAGCCTGGCGTGCTGCAGTCCATGGGGTCACAAAGAGTCGGGCACAACTTAGTGACTGAACAACAACAGCAGGGTCCTAGGGCTCACCTCTGACTCTCCAGAAGTTTTTAGAGCCACCTCTGGATGGAGGTTGACCCAGACTTAGAGTCTGGAAGAAACACAAAATCCTAGATTCAGCAGGCAGCTAGGTGTGCCTGCTGGGACACCAGAGGACAAGCCAAGTCATCCATCCTTGGCCTCTTGCTTTTCTTTTTACATGACTTTCATTTAGGTGCAGTGGAGTTGTGAGTGGTCACTGTGGCTTTTCTGCCTTCTTTCTGGTGGGGCTGCTTTCTTTGACCTCAAGAGAAAGGGGGCTAATGGATGTTGATGAAGGCTTGGTTTCCTGTAATCAGAGGAGCCAGTCTTATTGGTGTGTGTGCTTAGTCGCTCAGTTGTATCCAGCTCTGAGGGACCCCATGGACTATAGCCCACCATCTATGGGATCCCTAACTTGTCTGTCATTCAACACTTAATTAATGCCTGCTGTGTGCAAAGGAAATCCTTTGACAGTTCTCAAAAACTTGAACCTCAGATAATATGCCAGGGACAACTGACTAATGGGTCAAGACAACAGACCTCTGCCCATGGAATTTTCCAGGCAAGAATACTGGAGTGTGTTACTGTTTCCTCCTCCAGAGGATCTTCCCGACCCAGGGATTGAATGTATGTCTCCTGTGTCTCCTGCTTTGCAGATTCTTTACTCACTGAGCCATCAGGAAAGCCCATCTTATTGGAGTGAAAGTTAAAAAAGCTTGGAACACCTAAGGACGGACCTGAAAATCAATTTCCACCAGAGATGGGGTAGAGGGGAAGGTCAGTAATGTATCTATAATTCCATTTACAAATTTAGTGGGGAAAAAAAAGTCCAGGCCATATGAGATCCAGAGTTTTGCTTTATTAGACATCTATGAAGAAGAGTTTGCAGATACAATCAAATTGTGAACTGCTGCAAAGTTCTGCGAAGTTTTAATTTATCCTTTAGTGAACAGACCCCAGTGGCTGATATTTTAGAATACAGTTCCATATTCCAAGCAGATGAGAGATGTGATGTTATGGCCAACAACTTTATACTAGTCATCCACTTAAGCTGTTTCCCAGCATAAATATGCAGTTTAATCACAGCTATTTCATCTCTACCATGTGTGATTCGATCTTCGACTAATAATGCATTTTGACTCCTGTTTATATTGGTGCATGCGATTCTTTGCCACCCTGGCAATTAACCAGACCTGGACTCTAAAAGCTAAACTTGATCTAAATAACATTCTAGGGGTAGGGCAGGCTCTGTAATCTGGACTCATCTTAGCCATCCGTCTGCAAAAGCACTTGTATGTCTCCTTTTTCCTATCGTGTCTGTCTGTAACTTGTCTGTCATTCACACTTATTAGTGCCTGCTGTATACAATGGAGATCCTTTGACAGGTCTTCTTCTAAGAAACTTGAACCTCAGATAATATGCCAGGGACAACTGAGTACTGGGTCAAGACAACAGGCCTTTTAGAAACTTTCTAAGATCAGAAAACGTGCCCCAAGTGTATCTATCCAGTGCTCTTACTCTAGAATATTTCTGGGGGTGGGGGAAGGAGAGGGGAGGGATGGATTTGAGGATTCTAAGTGTGATTATTAGGACTGCATCTCTGGGGACATTAGAAAATCCAGTAAAATCATCACCCCCTCTCCATTATCTTTTTGCCAACATCGCAAATTTCAACCATTTCCTTGAAGAGAAATGGTGAACAAGGAGACATTCTTAACAGAAGGCGGGAAAGGCCTTACATTAGCCACAAAAAGGACTTGACTCTATTACTCACACTTAATCCAGTAGGAAGGCTGAATTTGTGTACTACCCGATTCCTTCCTTTGATTCTGGTGTCCTGAAAACATCACCATTTTGCCCTCAGAGTGATTGCGTTGCCCCAAAAGGAGAGGTTGCCAACCATGCAGGGCACATTTTTTGGCAGTTTCTCTGCACAGTCATGTGGCTTACAGAGCCAGACGGTTCAGCTCTCAAAGACAGGACAGGAGAATCAATACATTATTATGCTTCTTTAAATATAAACTGTGAACCTTTGGGAAGGATGTGCATGTGTAGAAAGCTCTGATGAAGCTGTCGACCCATCTGGTCTATTTCTTAGAGGACTCTGACCCTAGGCACCGCTGTCTATTGTTGAGTCTACATACACAGTCCGTAGCTTAGCATCAGTACAAATTAAGCACGGTCAAGAAATGAAGCCATGGAAAATTAAAGGCAGCAATGTCATCAACAAAATTCAATGAGCATTTTCCCCTTTTTTCTTTTTTAACAAGAAAAGCACATTGTAGAAATCAAGATTCTGTACAATTTTCTAATATTATATGTACATAAAATTATATTATAACTCAATTGAAAAGTCTTGTTTGTAGAGTATGGCTGGCAACACCAAAGAATGACCCAGAACATTAAGCTTTTGAAGCAGAGCAGGCAGCAAGAGGACCCTAGCGCGCACACCTTTGTGCCTGAATGCGAAACCCGGCTCCTAAGGATGTGACTAGCATTCTCCAGTTCTCTGCTGTGTTCGTGTTTCACATTCTAGTAGGGAATTCTGCAGCAAGCGATGTGAAAAAGGAGACACGTTAAAATGAAATTGGAAATGCTGTTTAAAATCTGCATATGATAATGGGCTGTGATAATGGGTTTGTGAATCCAACTCGACTCGAGTTCAAAGTTAGTGGCTCAACCATCTTCCCCTCTTTTTATTATGCATGCCTTCGGTGATTTAAAACTGACTGAACTCCAGCAGGTGGAAAAGACAGCTTTGAACAGATCAGAAGGGCTGTGAGTCAGGTTCTGGATTCTTTTCCTGCAGTTGGCTCCTGAAAGTGGAAGACTGGCTTTGCAAGTGGGGAAGGATGGGGAGCAGGCACACACACCAGTTGGTTCATCTGCCCCATTCTTCAGCTGCCTTTCTTCCAATCTCTTTCCTCCCAGGCCCTGCCATCCCCAAGCCAGGTGGAGCTCCAGCCCCACTCCCCAGAGGGCAAGGGGTGGGCTCCTGGCCCTTCACTTGTAGATCCTCTCTCAAGGAACCTAACCAGAGGCTGCAGTCTGTGCCCCAGCTTTCAAAAAACCTAGTTGGGAATTTTCAGATTCCAATTCAGCCACAGTCCCCTCTGGCATTTACTAAACAATGCAGATTCGGATTCCCTCTCAAGTTCGTAAAAGGGAGAGGATCCAAGAACCTGTTTTTAAGAAGCCCCCAGGCGGTTCTTGCAGGGGAGATCCGCAGATCTGCTTTGGAAAAAAAAAAAACCAAAAAAACAAAACAGCTTCATTCATTCAGTACGGATCTCTGAATGCCTGTAGGTAAAATCTTCAGTTCAAGTTTAGAAACGGAAGATTTTAACGAAACATTTCATAGAACAGATTCTCTGCCTGTGTGTCACTAATGTAGTCTTTCCAAAATGTGGAATTAAATGGCCAAAACTCTTAGGGAGATGAGGGCGAGCCGGGAGGAGGGAATTAGTTGAAAATATGTGTGCTAGTTGAGGAAAGGGGCTGCTCCAAAGCCTGTTCCCGTGTTCACACCCAGGCTTGGTGATGTGAACAAGGCAACCTGCGACTTCATTTTCTCATACAGAATCCTACCAGATTAACTTGTTACTTATGAATTCAGAAATCAGGATTTGGCCTTTGGGGAGTTCTTTCCCAGCATATAAATAACCTGGGATATGTCAGTAGCTCGATATCCATTTCCCTCGAAGCAAATTTTCACCTGCTGAAAATCTGAGGTGTCAGCGCTCCCACTCACAAATCCTAGCGGATTAGCTGAAGCTGCAGTTATTCTCCACTCAACCTATTTGGAAGTTAAATTATGAGAACCTAAAATAGTGCCCAGTGTAGGCAGGCTTCTCCCACCAGCTAAAAAAACCCTCCAAGCTCCCACTGAGTCACCACTTCCAATCACATGATGATGAAAAGGAATTAACTGCAGATGGATGGCATTTTATATGGACTGCCATCCAAAATATGTAAAAAGAAGTCTCAGAGAGATGAAGAGTCTCCTCTTGCCTCAAAGATCATATTTCAAATCTGGAAAGGTTGCGATAGGGCATCCTAAGTTCTACGGAAGGGAGATCTCTTTCAACCCCAGCCCAATCACTGCTGCAGAAATGTACTGATTCCCTTGTCAGGCGGGCGTTCCACCACTTTCACCTGTGAACACTAGCTGCTCTTCTAGGATGCTCAAACTTCCAATTCCCCAACCTCCATCTTCACTGCCGACAGTTTTTCTGACTCCAGTGTGCCCTCAGAAACATCCCCTAATTATGTCTAGTCCTGGCTGTTCCCCGCTGGAATTCAGATGGGTGATGGCAAGGGTCAAGGGCAGGCAAAGAACAGTCAGGGTTGAGGTCAGCAGATGCAGGTGAGCCGAGTCCACGGCGGGGACAGGCGGCGGGGAGGGTCGGTTAGTAATTTAAGAAGTCGATCCCAACCTTGACACTCTTGGAAGTGGCTATATCAACGGCAGTGGCCTTGATCTCGGTGTCCCCGAACTGCATGAGGGTCTGGATCTCCCTGCGGGCGGGCACATTGGTACTGCTGGCCCCGGTGAGATCCAGGCGCAGCGTGCCGCACTTCTTCACCCCGGGGTCGGTGATGAAGCTCACGTCGTCCAGCTCGGAGCTGTAGATGTTGATGACGATGACCAGCTGGGAGGGCTTGGCCGGGGTGTAGCTGCGCTTCACCAGCTCGCCCAGGGCCACGGACTGGTCGGCGGAGATGAACTTGTCGAAGACGTCGGTGCACCAGCGGGTGCCATCCTTCACCAGCAGCTTCTCGGGCGGGTGCTTGCCCTCCACGTAGCGGTTCAGCACGCCCACGCCGTAGGTGAGCGGGGACCGGCGCACCTTGATGACCGCGGGGTCCAGCCCGAAGAGGACGGCGCCCTTGAGGATGGTGAGGCCCACGTCCTGGGGGATAATGACGCGGCACTTGTCGCCGAAGGCAGCCTGCACCGCCTGCTGCAGGAGGGGCGCCTCGGCAAAGCCGCCCACCAGGAAGAGGAACTTGACCGTGGACACCTCTGGCTTCTGAAACAGGTCCCCTGAAAGGGAAGAGGAGGGGACAAGCGACTTGTCACCAAAAGCCAAGGGGGACTGGGTGGCCTGAGGATGTGGGGAATGGACCAAATGGAGGACACTTTTGGTCTGAACTCAAACAGAATACTTTTGCAGAGCTAGTCCTTTAAGGAAAGGAGGTTTGATGGGCTTCCCTGGTGGTCTAGTGGTTAAGAATCCACCTCGCAATGCAGTGGACACCAGTTCGATCCCTGGTCCAGGAAGATTCCACCTGCCGCAGGGCAACTAAGTCCATGTGCCACAACTACTAAAGCCTGAACACTCTAGAGCTGCCCGCACACTCTAGAGCTTGTGCTTGGTAACAAGAGAGGCCGCCGCCTGAGAAATCTGCATGCGCGCTGCAGCCGGAGAGGAGCCCCCATGCGCTGCAACCAGAGAAGGGCCTTCAGGCAGCAATGAAGACCCAGCACAGCCAAAAACAAATATATATAATATTTTTAAAGAAAGGAGGTCTGTACATCAGTACGCTCAGGAATAAAAACTCCCAAGCTACTGCTAAGTAGAAACCCATTTTCACAGCGAGATGGTGATCAGTTTAAGGAGTTCTTTGTTAGGTGTAAGTGAATACCCCATCGCCCTCTCCAAACCTGCGGTTCTCTGAAGTGAGTCAAGGCAGGCTGTTAGAAATATTATTCTTTGGTTTTCATCAAATTCCCACCCCACCCCTGGGGGTTCTGATTGGCTAGGTACGGAGTGGGAAGTGGAGACCCTGGATACTGGAAGAGGCCCTGGTGAGTCTCCTGTGTCCCCAGGTGAGGGCCCTGGTGTGTGTGTGGTGGCGGGGGGTGGTGCTGCGGGGGGATAGACCTTTCTTTGGTTTACACAACCGTTCCTCCTTCCCAGCAGAGGTTATGGTTTCTAATTTATTCTGATAAACCAAGGATCATCCATTCACTAAGGCCTGTCACTTGATGAGAATATTGCTTTAGAGGTCCCAGCTCCCTGACTTTTGAAGCCAAACAGAAAGCCCAGGTGAGGAGGGCCTCTGGGCTGCTCTGCAGTACCTGTGGCCCAGCAGCTGCCCTCATACATGCCCAGGCCCTGCCCACTCCTGCTGGGGCCCTGACCCATGGCGCCAAACTCTGGACCCCCTGCCATCCCGATTTCACATATACTGGTGGGTAATGCTGGAAACACCATTCCCCATTCTTGGCTCTGCCCCAGGGAGTGGCCAAGCCCTGGCTGATCACTTACGGAGATGCTCAATGATGCTGTCGATAGTCGGCTTAAAAAGGGCATTCATGGCGTCTGGACTCATCCTCAGCATCCCCTGTGAGGACCACTTGACAAAATCCACACTGTGGGGAGGGCAGAGAGAGAGAGAGAGAGTGTAGAAACGATACCCCAGTCACGGGCCCTGGCAGAACAGCTGTCACGTCTGAGGGGGCAAGGGGGTCTGAAAGTCCAAAGACCCCTTAGTAATACCCTAAACCACCAGGATCTAGACCCTTAGGAGCTTAAAAGCTAAGGCACAACCTCTTCCATTTCTCTTTACTTTGGGCTCTGGCCAACCCTCTCCTGATACAGTGAAAGCCAAAGTCTCATGCAAAAGACAGGGTGATAATTCATTCAACAAATATTTACTGAGCACCTACCACCTATGCCTCAGGTTCTGTTGTGGACACTGGGGACAAAGCAGGAGCCAAACTTCCCTGCTTTCGTAAAGCTTAACTTTTTAGTGCATAATCATAGCTAACACATGGATAGCACCTTCTAGGTCCCAGGCGTTGTGCTAAGCGTATACGAATTCATTTCACCCTCACAGCAATCCTTTGAGCTAAGTGGAATTATCATGTCCATGTTCCAGATGAAAAAACTAAGGACCAGAAAAGTTGAGTCACTTGCCCAAGGTCACACAGCAAGTGTGTAGGATTGGAAATCAAGAGTCCACAGCCCCTTCCTCCCTCCCATCAACAAGTTCTACCCCTGTCCTGAGCCAAACGTGAGCCCGACTCACTTGCTCTTCCTCAAGGCGTGCTCCACGCTGTGTCCCCGGAACTTCTTGTAGTAGTCGATGAAGGAGAAGGGCAGGGTGATGTTCAGTGGGTTAGTTCGGTCTGGGGCAGCCGCTCTTTTTCGAGACTCAAAGGCAATCATTAAGTCAACCCAGGCTGCAGGACGCTTGATTTTAAATTGCTCGATGAAATCCTCTCCGAATATTTTACACAGAAGCTTTTCGAATTCATAGTCTACTCCTAAAGATCCATAGGGTCCACCTGGATCAAGAACAAAATGGGAGACCACTCTGTTAGAAACAGAATCCGAAGTCTGAGAAGCAGCCTACCCTGGGTTTTGCCAAAGACAGTAGCTCAAACATGGGCCCACTTAGCCAGCAGACCACAGCTGTGTGTTTTTACTTATTCTTTAAAACCCTTAGGTTCTTCTTATTCCACATGGGAAAACTTGCCTATAGAAATCATTTGTCAGCAATCAGTTTAAAATTATTTACATTTTAATTAAAATCAGTGCATTTAGCTAATTAGAAGCATCATGGCATTCCTGCCCAAGAAATCTAAGGACAGCGTCTGGAAAGCCAGCAGACCTCACCAAGTCCCTGTGATCTACTAATTACTCATCCTTCCCATGCCCATTAAGAGGACGAGCATATTCTTTGCTTTTGGTGGTCTCATCCTGGGACCTCCCTGGAAAGTTTAGCCACAGCACCAAATCACAGGTGATGATCATGGCCAGGATCTGAAACAGGCTCACTTTAGGCCCAAGTTATGGAGGTTTATGTTTAAAGGCCATTTAATGGCATTTTGCTCTCTGGTCTCACACATCCATACTGCTCATAATCCCACATGCTCATGGCATTGAATGAGATGCTGAGAGAAATCAGAAATGAGCAAAACAGCTCAGGTATGAGAAAATTAGCCATTTCCCTCATTTTCTCAGGCTCACCTGTTGCTTTGTACAGTTCTTTCAGATGTCCCTCTGGTAGCCGTATCTGATGGACTGTCAGGTCTACGGTGCCACCGCCACTGTCCACCACCACATACTTGTCACCTGGTACAAAACAGCTTATACAGACCACTTGTCCACTGTGTCCTGGAACAATCTGGCAGGTGATGACAGTGTACCCAGCTAAGCTCCATCAATACCCATTAGTACAATGGTTTTGCTTATTAGCAGCACAGAGAGTGATTTATGACTAGAGAGAATGAGATAATG